ACTAAGAAATAATTGTAATTATGTCTAATTGACATTTATACTAACAATTCATTTTCAGAATTTGGCTGAACTTTAAATTTCAGAGCTAAAATCATTGTAACATACAACAGATTGAATCTTATAAAACAGAAGAGCTGATTTATTAAAAAAATACATAATTCCCCATCAGATAAAACTTGTAGACAAATAAAAATAAAATAATAATAATAAAAGCCAGACTTCCTATTAACTCATTCAAATTGGATTAACAAAAACCCAAATAGCAAGCAAATGAGTGTCATTTTAAGTCATTCTGAGATCAGATTCAACTAAGATTTCTCCAAAAAACAATGCCAATTAAATAAAATCACTATTCTTCATCATGAGAATTTTTGCTTACAAAATTTGAAACCACTTTAAAGGAAAGCTCTATTTAAGTAGGAATTGTACCTATGAGTACTATAAATAGAGCAAAGAATGTCAAGTAGATTAGAAAACCTCTCACACTTTTAGTTTTGACTGTTGTTTTCCATTTGTCCCTAGTATCTTCCTTTGAAATAAAAAATAATAAAAAAGAGTTACTTCATTTATATATTGTATGATTAAAGTAAGATGATCAATTATCATGCTGTAAATTAGTGCTGAATAATAATCCCTTTTGTTCTCCCAAGGTCTTCTTTTCAGCCAGGAATGAGGGAGTTTGAATCCTCTCTTTGTACCGGTGCAGAGCAGGATAGAGCTTCTTCGCCTGCATGCCATGTGCTGCCTTCCTCTGGGCTCCCTGCAGCCCATCGTTTTCGCAGAGCAACAACAGCCAGAACAAGAGCTCTGGGAGTCAGGGTCATGCACCTGACAGCCTAAAGAATGGCTATTTCTGACATGAGAGAGCTAGGGCCACCTGCTCTTTTCCAGATGCCAGTTGATATCTCAGAAGAGCTGGCAAAACACTGATTTTCCTCGTCCCTCTCTTTCTTTATACCACCCAGTTCCCAAATGCTCTGGCAGTATCACTGTACCTGGATATTAAACCACCTCTTTGAAGGGGAGTAAATAGGATGAGTAAACGTAGTCTGTTGGGAAAGTTTTAGAAGTTAATGAATGCAGAGTCATTTCTTTGATACATGCTATATGGTTAGTCCTGTTGGAAATAATCTTCTCCTTGCCCTGGTGGATGGAGCCTGCCTTTAATAACATCCTGCTGTGTGTAGAGGCACAGAGAACAATGGAGTTTATCCCTCAGGGCATGAAGAACACAGTCAGATCTACACAAAGGAAGACATGGCCTTGAGATTCAGTCATTGAGGTGGAGCTGCAGCCACTGCATTCTTCAGGCTGGGAGAGACTGATAGGAAGTACAAGTGTCCCACTGACTCCGTGTGTAATGAGGGCAAAGCTGGTCCAGCCACTGACAGACTCTGTGTCTTAATTTAGTTAACTTCTCCTGACAGGTGACAAATGATATATACAGCCAATAGATGCTGTTCTTCAAAGTCTAAGAGTCCACTGTTGGCCCAGGGCCAATTAGAGTAAAATCCTTGAATAGGCTTTACTGAAATATATTAATGCTAAACATTTGCAAGCGTTCTGATTCAAGGCATTCTTCTTGTGATATTTAGTGTTTAAGACCTTTGTTTTCTCCAGCTGTTAGGGAGAAAATATCTTCAGCAAAGATCAGGTTGAATAGCTGGCCTTGGCTCCATTAGCCCTGGGCAGCGGGGGCTGCTGCTATAGAGCATTCTTGTTCGTGAGGCGGGAACCTTCCCTGCCTGTTTTCAGGCACTTCTGAAAGCTGCATACGACTGTTCTGAAAATGGACTGCCTCTCTGCCAAAGCACATACAAGATATTTGGTCACATAGTCTCCTTTCTATGACCTATTAAATGCCATTTACTCTATATACTGCAGGGCAGAGCCAATTATTTATGGAGTGAGGCATGATAGAAAGTCCCTTTGGAGTGATAGGGGCACGTGAGGAATCCTTCCCTATAGAAGTGAATAGTGATAGTGATAATGAAATTAATTTATAGGAAAAATTGCTCTAAAGTCCTGTAAATATAAATGTCCCGTCTATAATTATAATACATTTATTGAGTGCTTACTGCGTGTCAGGCACTATTCAAAGACTTTTATGGTAATAATCCATTTAATTCTTATAATAGCTATATGAGGTGGGATCTATTATTACATATAAATTAAAAATAAGACACATAACCACTTTGCGGGGTTTTTGCAAGGATCACATGATGTAGGGCTGATGAAAACCATGGGCATATTGTACAGTTTGTAGTTCATTTCCTTCCCACTTAATAATAGACTTGAAAAGCAGCTCAGGTTTAAAGGTTAAATTTGTGGTAACGAGAGATAGAAGCAAAATATGGAAAAGTGAGACTGCCCTGTGGAAAGAAATTTCAATAATGTAAGTTTTGGGCTAGAAATCAAATTTGCTTTCTCTAAACAGAGCTGTCACCAGCCTGTAAGGAACTGGAACATTCTGAGGAAGGAGGAAATGAGTTATCCTACACTTGCACTGTTTTATTTCTGCCTAGCACCTAGACTTCATAGAATGTAAATTACTACTTCTGATACCCTTTTATTATTCTATTCATTCATCCAATCAACATATTTATTACATATCTGCTATGTACCAGTCCTTGGCATAAGCACCAGATATCAGAGGTGAAGATTGTACACTCTGCTGTCATGGAGCATAAAGTCTAGAGGGGAAGACAGACATTAATCAACTGTGCATGAATGAAAAATTACAGATTTAGAAACATGATGTGGAGAGCATATGAAAAAGTCTTCCTGAAAAATTAGGACTTAAACTGGGAGAAAAACCAGAAGGGTGTGGCAATATGGACAATATGAGAGATGGTCATAGGATTTTGCCACATGGAGGTTACTAATGACCATAGGAAGAGTTTTGTTGGTGTGTCTAAGGCAGAAGCCGGACTGGAGTATCCTAAGAGACTGAGAGAGGGGAAGAAATAGAGATAGTGTGGCGGAAGAAAAGTCCTTTCAAGACATTTGATGAAAAGGAAAGAGAATGTATGTTGGAGGGGGAAAGTCAGAGGACAAAAGTGTAAATACAATAGTTCAGCCTGTTGTCATGTCAGCTGCCCACCCCCATCTCTGCCTGTAGTGGAAAATGCACATAAACAAGATAGTTGTCCCAGAGTGAGAGGTGCTTGGACAGGAACCAAAACTATACTCATACAAAATCCTGACATGACAAAATTTAATAGTATGTGCAGACTAATAAAAGTTCTATTGTAAAAAACCCTTCTTTGGACAAGGCAGTAGCTTTAAGAAATATAATGCCTCTTTCATTTACAATAGAATTACATCTGTGTTTCAATTAAAAATATGTTTTTAAAATAATATTTTCCAATACACTGTCCAAACATGGCATAATTAGGCTAAACATACATTGTTTCAAATTTACTATATCTTAAAATTCTGTTATGTGGATAAATCTGTGTACTAATGAGGTGTAAAGCATTCTACTTCAGTGGATTATATAGGCCCACATCATTTCACTGGATGATTAAATTAAATATTTGGAGAGAAAATTAATTCTTTCAAGACACTAGCAGATTATTCTTGCTCTGGGAATCAGCTGCTGCTGATGAAGTGAGTAAAATAGGCATCTACAACACTGTACAAAGTCAAAAGAATAACTTGGGGATGACATTCCACAGATTTATATTCTCCTTGAATTCAATGAGATGATATTCTCACTGAATTTTTATCAATATTGTACAGTTTTGTAAGCACCTATTTTTACTGTCAACAGAAAGTCTTCACATTCACATTTGCATAATGAAGCACATTAACTACTATTTTTTCATAGGACAAGATTACTGTGCACTGTGACCAAATGACTCCTCTAAAACTTAAAATATTAATATGAGTCCGGTAAGTTCCTAACAGTTCACCCACAGAAGGGAATCATGGTTATCTGAAAGCGATGAGAAGCCTCATTCCAGGTGTTAAATTGATTGATTCACAGAAATTGATCCAAGCACCTGTGGTATTTTCTTTGCTACTGTTTCCCTTGACATCACCCCCTCTAGCTGCTATATACAAAGAAAGTAATTAGGAAACAGCATGTCTAATAAACTCACAGGCGAGTTGCTGTTGATCAGATATGGAAACCACATTCTAAGAAAATGGAAGGAAGGCGTCCGGCACACCCGATTGTGTTACATGAGCCCATCTGACTAGAAACGAGTTCGCTATTCGAGTTCGCCAGTCTGGATGCTGATCCTTTTTCCCAAAAGCTGAGTATAAGAAAAATGCCAGGGTTGCTTTGGAAGCACCGAATTATAAGATCCAGAATAAGCTGCTCCATCAGACAGCTAGAAAATCCTATTTGCAAAACAGCTCCCACCAGCTTCTTTTATGTCCGAAGAGATACTTAATTTGGGCTAGAAAATGCACTCCCGTCAGCGTAAGGAAGAGGAATGGTGTCTCTTCGCCCTGTCAGACCCACCATTCCGTTTGAACGGACGACAGGAGTGCAGTGTCTCACACGCGCAGAACTGACCAGGTGCGGTCACCGTCTCTCTCCCAGCTCGGAGGGACAATCTCTTTTGGCGCCCAGAGAGGAAAGTAACCAGATCAGCAGGTTGGAGGCAGCAGCCCGGGGCTGCACCGCGGTGGGCCACCTCTTCGGGCGCAAAGGTCTGTATGGCAGCCGCGGGAAAGACACCCAAGACCGGAGAGAAGAGCTCCTGCACCCCCCCAGGTCTCACAGCGCTGGGGCATATCCGGGAGGCCTCTGGCGCTAGCAGGGGAGAGACTGTGGACCCGTGCGGAGCAGGAGGTGAGCACAGCCCCTTCCCCCGCTGCAATTACCTGCCGCAGCCCGCGCACAGCCACTGGCTCTTGCTGTATCGGCGCGTCGGCTCCCGACTAACAGCAGTCACTGCCCCACCGCCTGCACCTGCGGCGAAGGGAGGCCCCTCTTTGGACAGGGCAGCCGCCGGACATCGCAACGTTAGGATCCAACCTTGTCCATGGCTGGGACTTCTTGGCAGCCCAGCGGGACGCCCCAGCAGCTTGTCGCGGCTCTTGCCTGCCTGCTCCTGAGTTGCCCTGCGCTGCAGGGACACGTGTCCTCGCCTGGGACCGAATCCCACCCAGCTCTCTACCTGCTCGCTCCGATGACCAACCCCGGGCTCCGGGAGCCTCTGGGCCGCTCACTTTGGCTCGACCCGCTCCGGGACCTGGTGATCCGAGTGCAGCCCGGGACCGGTGCGAAGTGACGGTGCTCGGTGCTGTGCCTCTGCTCCAGGGCGCGCTCTCCCCGCGCCGCTTCCCCTGCGCCTTCGGGCCCCACCAGGTCCAGTACACTCACTTCGGCTCCCGCAGCCCCGGACGCGCCCGGGTGCGGCTGCAGCTGCCCTACGAAGCCCCGACTTACACTCTGGCGCTGCCCTTCACGCTGGCGGTAGACGCGGTCTTCTCCCAGCTGCGGCTGGTGACGCTGCAGGCCTCCGGCCGTAGAGAAGCTGCTGGAGCCACGCCGTGGACAGCGGAGTGCTGCACTTGGCCTCTCCCGCGCGTGCCGGCTAACCCCTCTCCTTCACGAGGGCGGCCCACTGCCCAAGTACGGGCACTTGGTGGACCCCGTGGGGGGCCCTCTGCCCAGGGACAAGAGCTTAGACCGTGAGGCTTTTGTCCGAGCCGGGTGCGCTATCAGCACACCGCCGCCACCTCCTCGCCCAGCCACGACTACGTGCCTGCGCTGGCGGAGCTGCTGGGGCCAGAGGACGGAGGCGCTGGGTCGGTGGAGGTGCGGGTCCCTGAGCACTTGCAGCTGCTGGTGAGGATCCGCGAGGGAGCCGGGAGCACGGCGCCCAGGCCCAGCTTCGGGGCCCTGTTGATGGCGGAGGTCGATCAGTTCTTGCTAACAGCCCTGACACCTGACGCTCTGGCCGCAGAGGACATCGAGTCAGACCCTGACGACCTGGTCTTCAACATTCTCAATGTCCCCACATCCCCACCAGGGCACCCGGGCCAGCAGGGCTACGTGGTCAGCACTGACAATCCTCTGGGCCTTCCAGTCTCCTCCTTCTCCCAGCGGGCGCTGCGGGAACTGAAAGTCGCCTATCAGTCCCCGACAGAGAACCCTTACGGGGAGCACCTCGTCCAGCTGGAGCTGGAGGTGGTGGACGGAGATGGCGCCACCTCAGACCCCTTTGCCTTTACGGTGGTAGTGAAGTCCATGAACACCCTGGCCCCAGTGGCTAGCTATAACAGGGGACTACTGCTTTTTGAAGGTCTGTCAAGGCCCCTGTCCAGTGACACAACCTTCAGATCAGTGACAAAGAAAACCTGAAAGAGGGGAAAATAGCTGCGGTCAGAGGCTTGAGGCATGGGCGGCTGGGTAGTGCTTGGGGAACCTGCCAGGTACAAATATTTCACACCAGTGGACCTGGCAGCAGGACAAGTGATGTACCAGCATGATGGCAGCAACACCTGTGGTGACAACATCTTCCAGACGGAGGATAGGCACCATCAGGTGGAATTCCTCTCCCCACCTCACCACCATACCTGTCGATGATGAACCGCTGATGATCAGTGCCAACAGAGGACTCGCACTGACTCAAGGACAGGTGGCCCAGATCTCCCCCTCTGTCCTGAGTGCTACAGATATTGATTCTGAGGACTCAACCACCCACTTTGTCCTGGAGGACCATCCTCTGGAAGGAAAAGGAGAGAGAGACTGGGATCTGGCTCTTGGTTCCTCCTATTCAAGCCGGCACCTGGAAGACATGCTGTTGTGACAGGTTGAACCACATTCATCCTCTGTAGATGAAGACTGGAACTATGTCGAAAAGGAAGGACTTTATGAGAAGGTGGTGACTGGGTGGCTACAAAGAGACATAGTGAGGGGAAACTCTGCTACCGCCATCTTGGACCACATAGCCCTCAATCTGTAATGACCCAGCTGGCTTTCCATGTGCAGGATGACCATGACCCACCCAATCTATCCAACCAGCACTTCTTCACCATAAAGGTCCAGCCAGTGGATATGCTGAGTCCAGAGCTGTATCCATGAGCTACCTTAGAAATGACTGTGCAAGAATACCAACTCACTCACTTCCAGAAGAAATTCCTCCAATATGTTGAGCAGGACTCAGATGACCAGAACCTGTGGTACACCCTACGGACACCCCCAACTGACACAGATGGCAACCACCCAGTCCAGGCTGGAGAAATTGTGTTCACTGATTTACCAGACACACCCATCATACACTTCACCCAGGCGCAGGTAAATCACCACAAAGGTGCTTACCAGCCTCCACAGCCTCCTTGGGTTGTGCAGTTCACCTACCAGGTGAAGGATGCTGCAAGCAATAGTGTGCCAGGCACATTCACATTATTCCTGCAGCCTGTGGGCAACCAACCTCCCAAAGTTACCAACAGAGGCTTACTATCTTAGAGGGAGACAGCTTTATCCTCAGCAGTAATGAGCTAGATATTGCAGACCCTGACACAGACATTGACCAAATTGTTTTCATATTAGTCTGGGGGCCCCAACATGGAAACTTGCAGTACTTTAAAAAATGTATGGTACCAGGGGAATTTTTCATGCAAGCTGATATTATTAATGGGAGTGTCTCTTACCAGCATGACAGAGACCAGACTACCAGTGACACCTTCCATCTGGAGGTAAGTGATGGAGTGCACCATGTACCCATCACTGTCCAAACTTCTGTACATCCTACTACGGCTGACAAAAGTCACAGGATCTCTATCACAGATAGCTCATTATTGAATGTTTCCACAGATGTACTAGAGAATAGAGCCACTGAGATCACCATGGGTGTCATCCATGGCAAAAAGAAGGACACAAGTGACTTGATGTTGTCTTTCATTGTGGAGGACAGCCCCAAGCTGGGCACTATTCTGGTGAATGGCTTGCCTACAGAAAAATTCACCCAAGAGGACCTTATCAGGAGGGAAGTAGTCTATGTCCACGCTGGAAGTGAAGTTGGTTTCCAAAAGCAGCATGATGTCTTCAGCCTCACCCTCTCCGAGGATTCTTCTCAGTGAGTAGTAGGGAACAGCACAGTGGAGAGGGTGCAGGTGCAAGTGACTGTGCTGCCTGTGGACAACATGGGCCCCAAAGTCTTGGTGGGGGAATCCTTCATTGTCCATGAAGGTGGGAAGAGCACCTTGATCTTACAACATCTCAACACTGAAGATGTGGACACTCCCCAAGATGAAATCGTATGCACAGTAACTGATGAGCCTGCCTCTGGTTACCTGGAAAACATTGCACCAGCTCCTGGTTCAGAAGTGTCATGGGCTGGTAACCCATCAGTGCTTTCTCCATCAGAGATGTCGGAGTGAGGCATATCAGCTATGCACAGAGTATCCACAAGGGGATAGAGCCACAAGAAGATCAATTCACCTTTTATTGCTCTGATAGCATCAATTTCTCCCCAAATGTTTCCTTCCCTATAATCATCTTACCCACCAATGATGAGAAGCCTGAACTTTTTGGCCAAGAGTTTGTGGTATTAGAGGGAATGAGCTTGGTCATAGACATGCCACTGCTGAATGGAGCAGATGCTGACCTGCCACCAAATGAGCTCCACTTTGAACTCACAGCACTCCCTAGGCATGGATGAATCACACAGCAGCTGGCCACAGGCAGCCAGCCCATCCACAGTTTCACCTTGCAGGAGATCCAGGGGGCCTCCACCATCGTGTATGAGCATGATGACTCAGAGACCACAGAGGACAGTTTTGAGGTCTGGCTGAGTGACAGAAAACACACCACCCACAGGAAGGTGCCCATTGTGGTGATCCTGGTGGACGATGAAACCCCTCAGCTGACCATCAACAATGGGCTGGAATTAGAGACCAGACACTCTGAGGTCATCACAAATCAGGTCCTCAAAGCCACAGATCTTAACTCAGATGATAGGAGCCTCAGTTTTGTCCTCCATTCTGAACCTCAACAAGGGCTTCTACAGCGACTGGAAAAACCCAAAGGGCAAGTGAGGAACAACCTCACTCTGGGAATGGACTTTACTCGGGATGAGATTGACAGAGGCCTCATCTGTTATACCCACACAGGACAAGAAGGGATTGTTACCTTTATCAAGTTTGATGTGACAGATGGGGTTAACCCATTGATAAACCGTTACTTGTATGTCACCATTGGCAGCTTAGACAAGGTCTTCCCTGAGGTAGTCAGCAAAGGGGTCACATTGATGGAGAGTGGCAAAGTGACCCTCACCACCAATCTACTTAGCACTAGTAATCAACAGCCCTGGTGAAAAACTTTACTTTAGCATCACACAAGCTCCTAGTCTGGGCCACTTGGAAAGCTCTGAACACCCCGGTGAGCCCATTACCTCTTTCACTCAGCTTCAACTGGCAGGCAACAAAATATCCTATGTTCATACTTCAAAAGATGAGAGAAAGATGGACAGCTTTGAGTTTCGAGTGACTGATGGACACAGCCCTATGTTCAGAACCTTCAGGTTATTCATCACAGACGTGGATAATGAGAGGCCTGTTCTGACCGTCCATAAACTAACAGTGCAGGAAGGGGATAGCAAACCGATCACTCCCTTTGAGTTGACAGCAGAAGACAAGGATCTTATTCTCTTTACCATCACCCAGGTCCCCATCCACAGCAGGATTTTGTATAATGGTAGCATTCCTGTGACAACTTTCACCAAGCAGGACCTGGACAAGAATCTCATTATCTACTGGCATGATGGCAGTGACACTACTGAAGACAGTTTCTCCTTGACTGTGACAGATGGCACTTACACTGATTTCTATGTCTTCCCAGACACTGCCCTAGAAACACACAATCCTCAGGAAGTGAGGATCCAGATGAGTTCCCTAAACAGGCTCCCCCAGATTGCCATTAACAGGGGTATCCCAGTCTTGAAGTGCCTTCACAATAGACACACAGGCTTCCTGATTACCAGCAAGTCTCTGAAGGCAGGAGATCAGGACAGTCCCCACACATTCCTGAAGTATAGAGTGACCAGAGGGCCAGAGCACGGCTTCATTATTAACACTGACCTTGGAAATGAGCACATCCAAGTGTTTACACAAGGTTAGTGCACGTTCTTCCCTGATGCCTCTGTCTTTCTCCATCAGTGAATCCGATCTCTCAGCTCTGTGTAAAATTGTCCTGATCTCAGACCAATTGAAGCAAGATTTTAGTTCTAATACAATACAGTGGAATGCAAAAGTATTCTGAAAACACAAAAGGCAAAAGTCCTTTTTTAGCTATTTCATCAAAATGCCCATTTAACCGGAACCCACAGATATTTAATAAAGCTTAAGGTTATACTTGAAAATTGCACAACACGGGACAGCTTCTGCTTCTGAAATATTATAAGCTTACGTTATACTAATTTTGATAACATCAGTTTGGTTTTTGATTTTAAGAATGGCATATCTAGGAATTATTTGCATAGTTTATTAGAAAGTCAAGATTTGTGAAGATGATGTTTGGTGTCTAGATTTTGGACATAAATTCTTACACCAAACATTTTTATCGTACTATTCAAATGTAATTTCTGCATCTAAAGAAAGAATAGAACTAAGTTTGCCTGGGTGTGTGACGGCTCATGTTTTAAAAAGTCATTTTTCTTGGGCCGGCCCGGTGGCGCACTGCTACAGTGTGCCGCTTGGGAGCGTGGCGGCGCTCCCGCCAAGGGTTCACATACAGACGGGTTCCCGCTCACTGGCTGAGCGAGGGGCGGGCGCAACACCGAGGGTTGCGATCCCGTTGCCGGTCCCGGTCCGGTACGGGCGTGACACTGAGGGTTGGGGTCCGTTGCCAGACACGAAAAAAGACAAAAAGGGGGAAAAAAAAAAAAAAGTCATTTTTCTTTTATATTTGGTGTTCCTACTAACGGTGAACTAGAGGCAGGTTCCCAGGTGACATGACACCTGGTATCTTTTGGCTGCTCTTTACATTGTCTTAAAATTTCCTTATGTAGCTCTGTGCATGATGTGAAGAGATGTATGAAATTTCCTACATGATACATGTAAACATAGATATAATCTTAGAGTAAAACTTATAGAAGGTGTTTAAAAAAGAGTTTGGTTACACTCTCAGAATTGCTTCTAAAGCAAATGAAATCATATGTGGTTCTATAAGAACTGTTCTTCTAAGTAAATACCTCAAAAAGCAAATTGTCTCTAAAATACTAATAATCGCCAATATAAAAACATAGTTATAGACACAAGTTACTAATTCTCAAAAATTCGGAACAAATAATAGAAAAAAATGATTTTATTCTCATTTTCTTTTTTTTAGGATGCATCAGTTATTGCTGTTTAAATTTATCTTCACATATTTTTAATGAATATCCACCATTATGCCAAGCTCTATACTCATGCTGAAAATTTGAAACTAGATAGACCTAGCTCTCCACAGACTAGAATGTTCCCCTTGCTGAATATTATCCCAGAGAACATGTACATCACATCATAGCACTGAACAAAGTTTTAAACTAAAGTGGTTTTTCTGGTTTTTTTGTTTTTGTTTTTGTTTTTTTGCCATTGTAACTTTAAGAAAAAGGTAGATTCATGGTCACGTAGTCATTATTTTAAAATTTATTTATTGTCGTATCCCCATGCCCTGTTAAAATATTAAAGTTGTTAACATACTTATTTTCTGTTGTGCCAATATGACCAAGCATGATGCTGGCTCTTAATTTTTAGCTGACATTGATGAGATGAGGATCTACTATACCTTGCACCAGGGCAGTGATGCAACAGAGGACATCTGCTACTTCTCTGTTGAAGACAATGGTAAGTTAATATTAAAATCCTAAAAAGAGAGTTGGACAGTTAGCTCACTTGAAAGAGTGTGGTACTGGTAACATCAAGGTCACAGGTTCGGATCCACCTACCTTCCAGACACCAAAACAAATAAACACAAAAGGAAACCTTAAAAAGAACTCATGGTTAATTCAAATCAATAGAAAATTGAAAAAAAAAAATTAAATCATTTATACAGTAATTACAGTTACTATATAAATATCATAGTATAATAATACCAACAAAAGGATTCTTTTTGTTTTATTTATGGTCCTAAGTCAAATGATTCTTGACAAATCACTTTTCAGGAAGGGAAAGCCATGAGGTCTTTGATGAATAATATATGAAGTATTTTACCTGACCTGGATTATGTGTGATAACCTAAAGGCAAGTGAAACTTCAGGAGATTCTGAGAATCTTGCTAATGGTTCTTATCATTCTGAAACAAACTAGAAAATCCACCTACAAATTTGGTTACAATTTTCAGCTGCAGAACTGAATCTTGTAACTCCCTGGCCTTAGAACTGTAATCTTCTTGGATGGAGTAAAAAAATATATTTACTGGCATAGAGGAAAACTTGCTTCAACATGGCCTGTTTATGCTGTACCCACGTCTGTACACCACAAAACTAGCATAATGGGCAGCAACTAGTTAACAGAAGGTACATTTTTTTTTACACAGCTGGGGATACAATGATTATGTAGTCAGAAGAAAAATAATTTTTCAATATGACAGGATAATAGCAGAAATTATGTCTGTGTGCTGCTTGCCTCTCAATAACCTCTTTCAGTGTAAATCATTACTCATTCCCAGTGAGTAATACGTGTTTTTTGCCTAAATCATGTGTAAGCAGCCAAGGACTGTATTTATAGGAAAGTGGCCCTTTGTGAGAGGCCATGTGCTATACTGGGTTTATACCAACCTTCCCTGTGTGACCTTAAACCAGTTACTTTGTCCTTTTTGTCATTCATTCCCTCATCTATCTATAAAAGGTGGTCTTCATACCTGTATCAAAGGGCTGCTAAGACAATCGAGATAACAGGTACGTGTAAAGCACTTGGCACACAGGAGGTGCTCATTAATAGTGAGTTACCTTCTCCCCTTCCGATGGGATTGACCGCGGTGGGAACCACTGATATCTCCTCTTCACTGCCTCACTTAGAGTTTAAAACAAACCTTTCTTTCCTTTTCCAAGTTTTGAAGAATCAACGTTATTAAAAACATTAATTTGTGCCTCATATTAGTCTGTTTCTGTTGTTTACAACAAAACACACAGAACTGGGTAATTTAAAAAGAAAATGAAATTAACTGCTTACAGCTTCAGAGGCTAAGAAGTCGGAAGTCCAGGGAACACATCTGGTGAGGGTCTCCTTTGGGGGTAGCTTTACAGCGATGCAGGGGTCTCACATGGCAGAAAATGGAGGAGCAGAGAGAGAGAGAGATCACTCTTCATGTGATCTCCTTTTAAAGCCCTCAGAACCACACCCCTGACCACCATTTTTAATCCATTCACTACTGCTCAGTCCTACAATCCAATCACCTCTTCAAGGCCCCACCTTTCAATTACAATAATAGGATTCCCCATCCTCAACAGTTACAGTGGGGATTAAGTTTTGGGGAGACATACAACCCAAGGGATGCCTTCTAAACTCATTTGTTAAAGCAAAGAAATGTAAGACCCAAATATGTGACAGCGAATATTTTTTCCTTCTGTTTTTGAGAAGGATGGTACCCTAAAAAGATGTACCTCTGATGCTGACAGTGCTTTCTGGGCAACACCAGAAACACAAATCAGTCTCTCTCTCCGCTCTCTCTGCTTCCACCATCTTGCAATGTGAGACCCCTGGATCACTGTCACCACTCCCAGGTGGACTTTGGACTTCCCAGCCTCAGAAACTAAAATTTTCATGCTGTTTGTGAGCACGGTGTGCTCAAGCCAGTGAAGTTCCTGTGCTGAGGATGCGGGCCAGTCAGCGTGAAGACAGTGAGACCAGGTTGACTTAGCTGAATGCTCTGATGCCACTGGAGAGCTGAGAAGGTGATGGAGAAGAGAGATGATGAGGTAAAGATCAGAGAACAGATTTCCCTGTTGCTGGAAGAGTCCTCTTAGGACTCACCAGTCCAACCTCCCACTGACTGGATGAGGACACAGACTGAGGCCCAGCAGCACGACAGTCACGGAAGCACAGACCAGGCGACACAAGAAATGAGGAGTCACAACTACTTTTCTGGTGACACAGCTATGAAATCACCAACGTGGATATATTCAACAAGCACTTTCTAAGAGCTACATATATGCCAGGAACTGTGTTAGATACTGCAAGAGCTATCAAAGAAAGCTGCCACAGAGCTCCCGGAGGAGTACCCAAGAAGGGGTGCTATCTTCAAATGTCCAGAAAGGACATTTCTGAGTGCAGTAAAAACATAAGCAAAAGGCGAACAACTAAACATAGTGTCACCACAAGTTAGAGGAACTCCAGATCAGAGGTACAGTGTGATGTGGTTTATGGAAGGCCTCTATTAGCCAACTTTTAAGAATGCAGCTATTGCATTAAGTAAAAGGAACACATATTCTTAGTAATTCTGCAGAAGAAAATGTGTGTGTATATATACATATTTTTAATTTTATAAAGTTTATTGGGAACCAAATAGGATCAGCCTGCAAAACATCCAGAGTCAGAGAAATGCTCTTGAAACTCCATGAATATATTAAAACACTGTGAGAGGAACACTTTAAATGGATGAATTGTATGGTATGTGAATTATATCTCAATAAAGCTGTATTTTAAAAAAATAAAAAAAGAAAGAAACAAGAATCAGTCTGTGATAATGCTGTGATGTGAATTTTATATAGCTACCATTTTTTGAATGTTTTCTATGGTCCAGGCAGTACTTACATACATTATGATTTTCGATCCTCATTACAAAATAAGAAGCAAATGTTATGATGCCCATTTTAAAATGAAAATACTGCTAATCTCTTCTGGAAACACCCTCATGAACACACCTAAAAAGATAGTTTTACCAGCTTTTACAGTATTCCTTAATCTAATCAAGTTGACACCTACAATTAACCTTCACGTATGCCAAGCAAGCATACTGTCAAGTTCATTAATCTTCCTCCCCTGGGTCATTGTATTCATAGATTCATAGTTTTGTAATGAAATTTTGCATATTTCTTCTATGTATATATGGGCCTTTTCTACTTCCTGTATAATAATATTACCTTAACTTATACAGCACTTAATATTTCTATAACATGTTTTACAGAAGTTATACTGTTTGATCCTTACCACAACCTGTAAGATAGGAAGTATTATTTCAAATTTCAAGTTAAGGAAATGGGCATACAGAATTAAAATGACACATACAAAAGAGCCATCTAGAGCAACCAAGTCAATTCTTTCTAATAAGCCACACTGAATGGCTACATGCAAGTTAAAAGATTTTAATTTTGTCATATACTATGCATATGAAACTTTCTTCTTAAGACCAAAAACACATTGTTTAATTTTCTCTTAAATCATTCAGTGTTTAAAACCCATTGAATTAATGCTATGCATTTTGAAATTAAATTTGACCTGATCCTTCCCCCATGGTTCATAAAAATACCAGTTTTCTATTCAGTTGAGCTATTTTTTTTCAAGCAAGTTATGAAAATAAAGTAACAAGAGAAAAAGAATTTTATCAGGACAGTAACACTGATAGAACTAACTTTAAATCCAGTGACTCTGTAGCTAAAGTAATACCACACTTATTTAGAACTTTAAACTCTCTGGAATACATCTGAGAATTCGAAAATAAGGCAGATGTGTTTCTGAGCAGTCAAATGATCAGATCCACGGCCCAACATTTTCATACTTGACTCAAAGAAGCTCTTACTTGGAGTCTTTTACTCCTATTTCCCAAGCAATTCTAATTTTATTTAAATAAAAACAATGGTAAATAATAACAGAAAAAAATAATAATAAGTTGAACTGTTAAAAGGAGAGAGAACTGTGGATACTGGAGGCAGGAATAGGGAGGGAGACGGGGGATAGTGAGATGCTGGTTAATAGACAGAAAACTACAGGTACATAGAAAAAATAAGTTCTATTGGTGTATGTTATTGAATAACTAGAAGAGAGGATATCAAATATGCACATCAGAAAGTAATGATTAAGTTATGCGATGATGAATATACTAACTGTGCTGATTAAATCACCACACATTGTGTGCATGTATTGAAATATAACTCTGTACCCCATAAATATGTACAATCAATATGTTTCAACAAAAAATCAATTTAAAAAAGAACAGTGGTAAGGAAAATGTATGAGTTAAAAGCAAAGAGAGTTACAGAAGGCAAAGAGCTAGAAATGAGCAGATAAAAAATTCAAAGTTTTGAGGATCCAAGAGGCAAACCAAGAGGTAGTGGTGGGACAAAATGCTCAACATATTTCTGTAGCTCTTTGTAATATAGGGGAAGGTATAACTGTCATAAGAGTATAAAAGAGCCTATTTCTGCTCTTATTTCTTTTTTTTCCCCCTATATAAAGATGACTGGTAAGGGGATCTTAACCCTTAATCCTTGACTTGGTATTGTCAGCACCACGCTCTCCAAGTGAGCTAACCGGCCATCCCTACATAGGGATCTGAACCCGTGGCCTTGGTGTTATCAGCACCACACTCTCCCAAATGAGCCACGGGCCGGCCCCTCTATTTATCTTTTGATCACATTATCCAGATAGCCACCACAGCCATATTTTCTGTTTTTGTTATGGAGACCAGGCCTAGAGTTCAACTGTTGCCACAGGTGATTTTTTATTACAAATTAATTTTTTTACAAAGGGCAACTTTATAACAACATCCAGGATTGAGTCAATTTTAGGAGAGGATACAATAATGAATGAGAGAATGGTAAAACTACTTTAATGGGCACATTATTAAAGTTTTGTGTTTAGCATTGTTAATTATACTTCCAGTTGAAAACTTTAAGTTTGAAATCCTG